TGTATGCGACTGTATCGCTAAAGAGGTCGACGCAGTTAATTGGTTAACTTCGCTTTATGTTTCGTAGCTTTGTATGTATTGTAATTTTAAAACGTAGTTACCTACAACTTGGCTTTAATCCTATGTACATCTACCTATGCTTAAGATACTTAGCACATCCTTATATATATGTAATATATATATAATACTGGTAAACACAAAGCGTAGTGTGGAATTAAAACGAGATTCAATTTACGCCTATATAAGATACTCTTCTTTGTCCAATTGCAGAGACCTTCTATGAAGGAACAGCGAAATGGACGATAAACAAAAATTGGAAAGAACTCTGGCTATGGCATCCTTTTCGTGGTGATAGCTGACCAAAAGGAAATGTCGGTTTTCTTTACTTACTTTCCAAATTCTTTTTGTGACTTCCCTATTGTGTGTTCTCTCTCTCTCTCTCTCTCTCTCTCCTCGTCTTTTTTCCCCTCCCATCATCTTCCGGAAGAAAGAACAAATACATTTAAAACTTCCCAAATCCCTTTCTCCTTCTTTTGGAACCTATTCCTCATTTCATCAACCCAAGACTTATTAATCTTTTTTTTGAAGAGTAAACCTGATTTACCTCACTAGAGTACTTATTATTCTTTGCTAACTTACAATATTGTTTATTCTGATGTATTCCACTGAACTATATACAGACGGAAGTAACAGATTCACTTGTCCAAGAAATATTATAAATATCCTTTCATGTCTATTGCTTTAACGGAAGCAAGTATATATAATTTGTGCTTTCAACATATGGTCGTGTAAAATGAAGATAACCAAACAGTCATTGCATAGCGTGCCTCATTTTGTGTAAAAAGAATCCGGAATTTAAAAGAACATATAATGCATTTTTTAAACACTTATGCTGAGGAGAAAATGTCATAGTGACTCAATTAATCGCTTGCTCAATCGTATTATTTGAATCTGTTAAAGTCTATTAAGATTTGTAGAAAGCAGTTGTCTTCTTGAGCAGGAGTTTTTTGTGTTATCCTTGTTCTTTGCATTAGTAAGCAAATCAAAATATAATTGTGTCTAATACTCACTCCTTTAAGTTAATGTGCAACAGATTTTATTATATATTTATTTAGCATCTATAAAGTTTATAAAACGACAAACTACAAAATATATACTTACATTTCTTTTAATACAACCAATCACACGCGGTGATGTATGGTCTACACCCGTAACACGGTGAAAGTAAAAAAAAAGTGGTGAAAGAGAAAGAGTTACGGAGTGGCTGCACCCTAGTCGATGTGTGTGTGTACCCAATCCGTAAATGTTTTGCCTTTATCGACTGAGCATTCACTATCGTTACGGCGAAGAAGTCTACCAGGCTAAGGTTTGAGCAATGGAACAGCCGACGTGGTAGTTGCGGCTCTTATGTATTCGGCTATGCGGCAGCCCTTAAGTTTAGTTGGAGAGATTAAGCGAATCAATCTGTTACAACGCTCCATAAAAAAACAATTAAGAAAGTTATATTCGGCGGGGCCGTATCTCGCATACCCACCATTATGCTTTTCGCATTCTGCTCTTCAAGTTCTAATATTTGATACCCATATCGCTGGTATTATCAACGAAAAATTAATCGCGGCACCTACCATATTCAGTTTTAAGCATTCTGTCTTGTTTGCCTTATTATAAAGAAGCATAAAACCTCAAAAAACTGAAAAAATAAATTTTAATTATCATAGCTATCCTTAGCAAATAGATTACTTAGAGCTGGAAATAAGTTATCATTAAGCGGCGAGTGCAAAAGACCTTTTAGAGGGGTGTACGGATTCCCCGTAACATTGAAATTCTTAAAGGACGTAGTAATGTAAAATGCATCGAGCGCCCTATAACATGTTACAATGTGTACAAATATAAATAAGACATGAAAAAACACTATAGTGGGCTACGATCCGCTATTAACTGCTATACATTAATCTACAGCTACTCGTTTTTAAAAATAAGATCAAAACAGTGGTCCGATCCAAAACATTTTCAATATGGTTCATGTTTGGGCCAAAATCTTGAGCCGGTGTACCAAATTTGATCAAGATATGTCATAAATTTTCGACCTACAGGTTGAACAAAGGGAAAATTCACGGACAGACGTACAGACAAAGGTAGATCGATTCAGAAAGTGATTCTCTATAATAAAAGGATTCTCTTTAATAAAGGATGGGTCTATCTCAAGGCATTCTGGAGGTTGCATACATCCGTCCTTGTGCCACAAGTGGTGTAGAGTATAAAACTAATAAAATGAAATTTCGACAGTCAATAATCTTGGTTGGACGTAACCGATTTTTTTTTTATTTTTGTACGCATAGAAACAAAATACTGTTATAAGAGCAACGTGTACAGGAAAGTTCTACCAATGGCTTTTAACTCAAGTTGTTTAATCGTTGTGTTTCAATTACCAATAAAGAATGCCATGGCGATCTGTTAAGCCATGCTTTCGTTGAATTAAAAACGACAATCAAATGCTAAGTTAGCCTCAACATTTTTCACTGTTCTGCTAGGAAGTATTGAAATTCTAGGAATTTAGTGAGCGAAGAGACATCCACTCTCACAAATAAAACGAAGCATTATTTCACTTTTGTCTTTTTATTACGTTTCGTTTGTTATTATTATGGCATTTAGTCTATGATTATATCTCCATTAATTCGTTTCATATTTAAGTTAGTTTTCTTTAGACCTTATAGTAATTAAAATTAATCTCTTATAATTTAATATTAATACGATGATTAAAAGTCGGGTGTCTGTCGATCGGTACGTGTGTGTTTGTTGTGCGTGTATTTGAGTTTTACTGCATTCATAAGTATTTGCGTACATATTATTATTATTTATTGTTATATATATATATATATATATATATATATATATGCATATTTATTTATTTATATATATTTATATATATATATATATATTTGCCAACATTATATTTACTTTAAAAATAATTGTTTTATAGATTATGAAAACCACAAGTAGAAAAATTCACATTTTCATATCTATAGCCTATTACATATATATCAGTGTAATTATAAACAAGTGTGTAGACGTACGTATATATATATATATTAATTTTTGCATACAAATATTTGTTTTTCATTATTAAATTAATATGATTAAGGTAGACGACGCTTTTTTATATGCCTTCTGATCTATTCACATTATATTTAATTCTTTTGCTTTACTTTGTTTTAATTAATTACAAATTTGGATTTGGTGGCGAAAAAAAAAAATCGCACAATTTTAAAAGCCCTTAAACAATTGCGCATTTATTTGCCGAAAAAAACATTTTTTATAAAAAATAATTGTTAAAAGGGCTTTGCAGTCGCCCTAAAGCAAATCTTGAACATGAACCATTCGAACGGGCTGTTGTGATCAGTCAGGGGACAATTCCAAGAAATTTTCATTCACAAATTTTATAACGACTCTAACGAATATTTACGCGTAATTTTATATCAAACATTATTATGTTTTATGTTTATTTCAGACGACAGAGAGAGAGAGAGAGAGAGAGAGATAGGCAAAAATGTAAAAAATTTTTTTTGTTGCTCAACAATTAGCTTACATAAAGTTGAAATGTTGAGATTATTTTTCTCTTGAGGTCTCAACCTCAATTAGATAAAATGATCATTAACCGAGTCATGAATACAATTATGAGTTCCTTAATCTCAGGATTTCAATGTTTCAGACTTTTAAATAGTCAGATAAGCGTATATATGTTTAAACAAATCAATGAATCGTTCAAACCGCATTTTAACAATAAATATGTACTGAAATCTCGATATTTAAATTTTAAGAACTATTTTAAGAAGAGTTTATTATCAAATCACTCCCAGTTTCAATCTTGATTGAAATATTTGCATACATAATTGTATGAGAAATATTTCAAAGTCTTTCTCGTAGTAATGTAGTAAAAGGCATGTTTGCGGAGGGATAGCCTGCATTTCGTTAGCGAGAATATATATATGTGTAGAAGATTTCAAATTGTTCTACTTCAATTTGAAGGAGAGTTTATTTTACGCATCACCTTATATCACAGATTATCAACAACACATTGAAATTTCAAGATTAGAGGCAAAAGAAAAGGACGGACGAAATTTTAAAGTTTGCTCTTTTCTTTAGCCATTATAAGTGCGTATGAGGCAGAATCACGAAAAGAGGATCACTGAAGAAGGATCACTTGCAGTTTCAATCTTGATCTTGATACATATAAGGATTTGCGAGTGGGTTTAAATTACGCCTTAGCATACATTACAGATTATCGAAGACATAAAGAAATGTCAAGGTTGGAGGGAAAAGAGAAAGACGGACCGACATTGTTAAATTCGCCCAAAATTTTATATATCACAAATCACAAGTTATTTAATTACATTGAAGTCTTAATATGTGTTTTTATGTTTAGTCATTATAGGTGTGTTTGAGAGAGGATTACTGAAGGAGAGAGAAGCAAAATGATATCCAAACAGTATAAGGTACCATTCAACATTTCATTTGAAATTATCTACTGCCGGAGATTGTCTTTCGAATGTCGTCTTTAAGATACCATTTCAAAAAAATATTTTGGGCCTATTTATGACGTAAAGAAAAGAATTGGAACTGAAAATATGAGTAAATCAGATCAACAACTTAGCTCAACGGCTAGCTTGATTCAACAGTCTGAATGAAAAGTAGGTTATTTAATAACATTTTTAATTAAATCGTGCGCAAAACAAGCCCTGCTGCCTAAAGGAGCGTTTTCACTGCATTGTTTATTAATTCTTTGATTTGCTTTCCCCACCTACTTTCATTCGCTAGTAATTATGATAATGATTGCGGTTTTTGATAATCCATTTTTTTTTCTCGTTTGTTTATAAATAATTTTTTAGATAATATAATAGTTTTTATTTAATTAATCATAAACACACACATATTACACTTGTTACAATTATTATGATATTTAAACTTTTTTTTTGTTTTTATTGAACAAGTTCTGTTTTTTTTTTTTAACTTAAAGTTCTAGAATTTTTTTTCATTTGAAATTTTAAACATTTTTATATATAAAACACTAAACATCACATCACATCTCACTAAACGCAGTTTAATTATTATTTTACGGTTTTTGTTTTTATTAACACATTTAATATATTTACACATAAAGTTAATATATATTATCTTAAAACTATAGAGATTCAGGAACAAATTGTTGTCGAAGAATGGCAACTATGAAGAATTTTCTTATATACAGACATGTTGTACGAGGAAAGTAAAGGGAAAAACACAAATAAAATTCATCCAAAGACGATAAAAGATTACTCGACTTTTTGAATAAATAAAAGAAGAAAAATGTATATTATACGGCTTTGCCGGTAACCTTAATGATTTTGTTTATCCGTCATTTTGATGAACCTTCGCACTCCTATGTCTACGTGTCGACATTGTATTGCTTAACACAACTCCTATGTCGATCTAGAGTCCACGTTATATTATTGAAATTATTCAGTAAAACAAGTAAGAAGACTGTAGTGTGGCACGGGCCACCATTAAATACCCCACGCCACCCTATAACCCATAAGTCGAATTTTCAAAATGCCGAATTGTATGGGAAGTGGTCGAAAATGTGATCCGATTCGAACTATTTCCTGTAGCGTTGGGCCAAAACAGACAGACAGACGGTCGGACATAAAAGCTGAAATCGTAAGCTGAAAGCGTATAATTAAAAAATCAAAGCTTTCTGGTTGTTGCATACAACCGCACACAATGGTGAAGGGTGCAAAAGAAAAAAGCTATATAAAATATAGATTTAACGAGTTTATGGGTGAGGACATAATTGAATAACCAAAATGTTTTAATTACATTTTTTAATATAACCAAATCATTTAAATACTTCCAGGATTACTAAGGAACTTTCCGCAGAAACATTGCTTCCAGACCGATTTGAATGGAAAGACTAGTGAAAATCAGATCACATGGCTGCTCTTTCAAAAAGTACTGGACATTACTCCTTCAATCTCATTTTAGGCTGAAGAGCTTGGATTTAAATTAAGTAACGAACGTTATAATGTTTCTGTAAAGCTTTCATACTCGTTTCGACTTTTTCTTTCTCCTTTAATATGTATAAGTAAAAAAGCAAAATGCGTCACTAAACCCAGAAAATGTTTAACATAAAAATTGAAATGAAATATGGAAAACGGATAAATAAAAAAAACCCAGTTCATTTCTTACTATCAACCGTTGCACGGTAATAGCAAGGGAATGCAGATTTTCATGTGTGTGATTGTTGTGCAAAAAAGTTTTACTCATCTTAATTGAAGGCACCATACATAGTTATGAGCAAAAACTTGTACCTGCAGTTGTTCAAGGTTCAATTTACTCAAGAGCTAATAAAATGGAACAACTTAGTCACCAACAACTTTAAACTTTCTCGGTGAACACTGTTGCCTTACGTATTTTAACAAGTAATAAAATTCTTTGAAAAATTTAGTTATATCGGTGGGTAATAACAAAATGTCTCGTTTTATATGGCATGTAATGAAAGTCTGTGGATGAAATATTTTACAGATGAGGCAAACTTCGGCCTGAAGAAGACAAGATATACTGAGGCAGTTACATGTGATTTTGTTGGCAAAGTTATTATGAAAAAAAAGAGAAAAGATATATTCGAAAATTTATCTCACATAGGCCAGCCTTTCCCCTTTTTCCTGCACAGGAACTCCTCGAACCGACAAAGAAAAAAGAAAAAAAACAAAGAAGAGAAAATTCAGAAAATCAGTCAATCTAAGTCAAATCTATTCAAATTTATCCAAAGTTCCACTAGTAAAACGTTCACACCACTCTAACAATTCTTTAATCTCGCGACCATAATAATCCTCTTGTGTGCGACATTTTATATCATCACAAATGTTTAATACTCGCTCTAAAGGTCACACATTATGTGCAGAGGTAGAAGTAGTGGTGGAAGAGGTGGTCGGTCCAGTCGTTGTTGAACTTCCGGAATTACTTAATAGACTGCGTTCACTAGCCATACTACTGCTGGGTGCATAAATCATTTCAGAGTCACTGGCTTGCTGCTGATGCAACGGATGTAAGTGATGTATAGGTGAAGATGCCGTTGGTTGCAATGGATATTGTTGATTTTGTTGGTTTTGCTGCTGATGCTGTTGTTGTTGTTGTTGTTGAAGTAATTGATGTTCAACATTATTGTCTATACATAAAGTATTGTTAGTAACTGTTACGGTAGGAGTGTTACGTTGTTGATATGAGCCACGCATTGATGCGTTATTTTGTTGTGCACGCCAATTACAATAACTATTCAAAGAAATTGCGGATTGTTGATTACTCTCATTCGTTAGAGTATTAGCGGCGACGGGCAATGGCTGTAATAATTGTTCTTGCTGTTGTTGTTGCGGCATTTCGTCAACTTTCATATACAGACGCTCCATATCGCTTTCACGTTCTCCATCTGCAATATGATATAAAGCGTGATCTTCAGCGTTTGTTTCATCGTCATCGTCATGAGACATCATTAACATAGCCATAGGCGAAGGTGAGCCACCGCAGCCCGAATCGGCCATGCCATTATAACAGAATGAAGCGGCATCTAAGTCTAATAGATTTTTCGTCATTAAATCCTGAGTATTGTAATTATTACCGTTATTGCTATTATTACTGCTGTTGCTATTCAAAGAATTCAATTTTTGATGTTGATGCTGTTGGTGTTGTTGTTGTTGTTGTTGCTGTTGATGATGATGATGATGTTGTTGTTGTTGTTGTTGTTTATCAACGTGATAACTTTGGCTTTGAGTGCTAACGACTTTGAAGCGGTTACTTTGTTGCCCATTATTGCTGCGTTGCAAGGTGCCGACATGAGCGAACGACGATTGTTGCGGCTGTTGCTGTTGCAATTGTTGTTGTTGTTGTTGTTGCTGCTGCAACTGCTGCTGCTGATGCTCTTGGGTGGGGTCATACGTATGGCAATTGCTTAACTTATTTTCGGTTATATGTATTTTTTCTTTTGGGTAATAATATTGATCAGAGTATACTGATCTGCTGCCAGTTGCCTGCGAGGGATAAATTTCGCTTGTTGTAGACATTTGTTGATATATATTATTAGCAGATTGTTGATGCAATTGCTGTTGCTGCTGCGACGATATCTGTGAATGGTAATGAGGATGCATAGGTCTAGTTGACTGCTGCTGCTGCTGTTGTTGCTGTAAGGCATTGAAACCTGGTCGCAACTGATAACGTGGCTGTTGGTTATTATTATTGTTTTGCTGTTGCATTATTGTCGATGTGGCGTATGGGGCTGGTGAAGAGTTACTCTTGCGGCCGCCACCCACACCATACTCGCTGCCTGTTTTACCAAAACTTGATACCTCAGCATAGTCTGTAGGTATGTTCGAGTATTCGCCTACATATCTGAAATTTTTGAGATAAGGTTTTAAATATAAAATATGTAAAACTTTTGCACAATGATTTGGTTTATTTTAATAATGAAAACGGAATATAGAAGAAGAGAAAGAAAAGAGAGCGCGAGAGATGGCAGAAGTCGGCTTAGTGTCCAGCATTTTGTTAAAAATAAAAATTCATTTGCAACATTTTTGTCTTTTCAACACTTTAAAATTTATGGCCAGGAAAAATAGCGACAATTAAAATTCAAAATAAAACGTTAATTACGTAGTAAATGCTTTTAAACAATCATTTGTATGCAGAATTGCTTGTTAAGCTTATTATTTATGCCTGTTTGTTGTACTAATATTTGTTGTTGCCATTGTCAGAGTTGTTTAAAGCACGCAACAAATAGGGATAAAAACAAAAAACGAGCACAAAAACAAAAAAAAAAAAAAACTATTGTTTTAATTACATTGAACAATAATTGCCAATTGTTTCGATATATGGTAATAAATTATGCATTCTGGCTAATGCAACAAACTTTTTACATGTTGATATCGATCTGTATGTGAAAATGCAACAAGGATGGTAGCAAATGTATTACGCATATACACACCCATATGCCCACACACACATATACAACAAATAGTTCAATGAGAACAATAATAATGAAAAACAAAAAGTGGGAAAAACACGCATTTGATTTTCATAGCTGGAAAATAGATGTGAATTTTTCATTACTTTTTTCCTCGCCCTTTTTTAAAGCATAAATCATCTGCGTTGATGAATACAATTTGAACATCCTCCACCTAAAGCGTCTGGTAGTGTATCTGTCAGTTAGTTCAACCCAGCCTTTCATTTTATTAGGCCCAAGGGAGCCAGTGAACGTAACCCTTTCTTACATAATCTATTTACGGTAATCTTTATGTGACTCATGCGTGCACTCATGAGAAGATATCTTTTGGGGTACTTCGCCTTAAAACTAGTCTTATCATTATTATTGTTATTCTTATTATTTTACCCAGAGAAATAAATTCAAAGATTAAAGTCTTAAAGCACTAGCATCTGAGGCTAACGGCTTTATTGAAAGCTTTACCGCACTTGAAATAATAATGAATTCAACTAATTGCCACTGCAATGAAAACATAAGAAGTCAAGGGAGCTTATCAGCTAATTGCTTGGAGCTGGTTTGGTCAAAGTTCCTCAAGATGGTCATCTCGGTTCTGCTTTATGACAAGTGACTTACGACATGACATCAAACCTGTGTCTTCCCGTGTTTTAGTGTAGGCTGACAACCCTAAATTCATCTATAACTCGAATGATAGTCAAGTTCAGCTTTATTTTCATAAGGAACTCGACGATTTTTGCAAATCGCTCTTAAATGTAATCGCATGGCTTTTTATCGAACCAATCCGTCAAACACTGAAAACGGCCCTTCAGTGCACAACTAAGCGTTATTGTAAATAAGGAAAAAAACACAAGACTTTATCGTGCGCTGATCAAAAGAGTTTCATGATCCTTACACTACTCGATGGCTCTATAAATCGCTACAGTGAGACCTATTCGACGGTAGGAACGCAACGCTTTCGTGTCGAGATCTCAGCTAACCTTTCGGTCAGGGCAAAATCGGCTAAAGGCGACACAGGAAATGATTTTCCCGTTTCAAATGTGGCGACACTAGCTTGGAAGATAAGCCAGGAAGAGGTCGACCATCGGATTTCGACAACCAGTCACTTTTGGGAAGACGAAAGCTTGACAACTCAATGCGGATCACTCAACCATCGTTTCATGTCGTGAGAGAAATTTCAAACGCAAGTGTCTAGCATCAAACAAAATATCAGCATTAACAATAAATAGAAAATAAAATTGAGGACTTATGGATTGTTTTAAGTAACTCTAGCCTACTTGTGGCACAATATTTATGAAACATAACAAAAGTCTATCTATTTTTCTCATCTTTCGCTTCGATAGATGTGTTCAAGGGTTTATTTGTGTTTCGTGTGTTAAAATTTTATGGTATTCTGAACAATTTGTGGTACTGTGACGGCCTTAAGATTTGAATACGATTGATTTGAATCAGCTTGTTTGTCCGTCTGTCCACCAGCGTTTATGTTGGCAATTTTTCAGATATTTTGACAAAATATGGTGCACTAGCATACTTTGTCCTAAGAACGAGCTCTATTGAAAATGGTTTCAAATGGATTGTTTATGCTACCGCCCTCCATAGAAAGCTTTGTTTTGAAGCAACCGCCAAGACCAGAAAAAAAAAATTGAAATTTCCAAAATTTCTTCTCCCTTCATTTCCTTCCCTTCTTTCTTCACTGCATATGGGAATATTGGCACGGTCTTAAATCGATTTAGCCAATTGGTAAAACTAATACTTAAGGTAAAGAATATCGAAATCGAAACTACATCAAGGGGCGAGATAGCCTGATATGAGATCAAAACGTTTTCAATATTCACACTAATCGGAAATATATATATTTTACGAGTTCCAAGATGTGCTTCTGCGCATTACAAGTATTTTTTATTAAATCTCGTATGCCGTTTAAATCTAAATGATAAAGAAGATGATTTTAGAAACCTATTCCACTCATAAAATGGACAAATAGCGCTTGCAGATAAGAAATTAGTTTACACAGAATATCTTACACGAGTTTGTAGCAGAAGAGTAAAAAACATACGGAAATTAGTTTATAAACCTATAAAAAATTTTAAAGATATAAATACACTTCGTTTATTGCAAGTACAATGATACTAATATCCAGGTGCTATCATAGTGATTATAAATAACAGACTATAAAAATCTGAAATGGTTGACAATTACCCTAAAAACGAAAAATCGAAAAAAACTTTTTTCTTTTTTTTAAAATAAACTGCCTATGAGAAAAACAGCTACCCATCGCGACGGACTTATGTGCGTTCACATACCCCACTCTTTCTCTCTCTCTCTCTCTCTCTCTCTCTGAACACAATTTACATATTTTATAACTTGAAAAAATAAACAAAACATTATTGTTTGCTTCTAATTAAAGTTTTAACGATTTTTAGAGCTTTTTCCCGGCAAATTTTTTCAATATGATTTTATTGCTTTTTGTTCGTAACAACAATTTTCACGTTTATGTATATTGCTATTCTAACTCAGCATACAATTTTTATGAATGACTTTTTGTTTTTGTTTTTCTTTTTATGCATTTGTTATTTTTACACATTTCCACAATAAGTGAAATAAGGGGAAGGAAGAAGAATTGAGAGCGGATTTTTAAACGTACCTTTGCTGGCCACGTTCATTTGTATTGTCTGAGCCATTAGCGCTATTGTTCGTTAGACATACTGGTGCATAGTCATCAATTTGATCTTTTTGCATATCTATTGTGTCACCGCTTGGAGTTGGTCGCCATACCATGCCACCCGTGGAAGCGTCCAACCAATAACCATTTCCAGTACCCCGCGTTAAACTGGGCATTTTTAAAACATCGCTGGGATGAGTTCCTGAAAAATAAAATCGCATCGAAGACAAAAATATATGAGGATAAATTTTTGCTACCAAAGCAGTAACGAAATGAATAAACAAATTTTGCATATCTTAAGGCGAATATTGGATGAGGTATTCTCAAGTTCGCATTAAGATTATATACGCCTTCACAACCCAGCTATCTAATTCAAGCTACGTTAAACTCCTGGTCTGGGCATAAGCAGGCAGTTGCGTAAGTCACAACTGATGTGTTTGAAAACTTCTTTATTTGGGATCTTTATCTTTGACGCATATTTTCCCATGTTGCAAATGCGATGATAAACTTGCTATTCCCCTAAACTTTAAGTGTTGATTACAAAAGAAAAAAAAGGATGACACCAATAATTGACAAAATCGTAAAACACACTAAACTGCTCCTTGTTTTTTTTTTTTTTTTTTTTTTTTTTTTTTTTTTGAATGAACTTTTTACAGATACGCAAACGAAATAAAAAAATTAAATGACTGTTAATTTTTTTTGTTATATCCATTGTATTAGGGTCGCGTTAACTATTTAGTTAATTAACATGACATGACAACAGAAAAAGAAGAGTGAAAAACAACGCGAAGAGAGCAATAATTGAATGACATCGAAACGGAAATTCGAAATAAAGATTTTCTTTTCTTTTTTTTTTTTTGATATTGAGTTTTAATGGAAAATAAAGATTTATAGGGAAATAAATGGGAAATGAGAAAAATTTTTTTTAGAAATGTATATGTCAGGGAAAAATTATTAGTTGAATGTGATTAAAGTGCTATAAATTTGTTAAAATTTCGACAATTTCATTATCCTTTATGCGGGCGTTACGGCTGCCCCTAAAACAGCAAATGTTTTTATTAGCTTTCCTTTTTTCTCTTCTTTGGGTTATTTAGACGGATTGACGATAAGGACAATATATCCCGTAGCGAAATGAGTTGATCCTCTCTCTAACTTTTTTAATTTTACTGAGCTTATTGGCTATTTAATTCAAGTTCGTAAACTTTGAGGTTATGATTTCATTGGCTTTAATTTTACGCTTATTGATTGTGAAATATTTCGTCAACTTTTCATTAGTTGAGTTAAATGCCGAAATTGTTTGTGTTTTCGCCTACGACAACTTTGGATTTCAAGGCAAGGTATGGTCGGCGTTCGTGATGGCTTTCAGCATAATTCAAGTGACCGTTTTAACTGAGGTCTTAGTTCCTAAGCAATTATTTTCACGCGAATTCAAGAGAAATTTACAGTTTTACATAAACGAAGTGCTTAGCGGCAAGGTGGCAAAGGTATTTCCCGTCCGCAATGGTGCAGTTTCGAAGTTGAAATTTTTATATCTTACACCACTTGTGGAATTAGGGCATACTAAGTTTGTGCAGGGGTATACAAAACCCACAAAAATTCACCTTTTATTAAGACCATCGATTCGCAAACACTTTCTCAATAGTTCTAAACTTGTCCGTCTGTCCTTGTATTCGTCTCGTTAGGTTCAACCGACGGGTCATAATTTTTCTGATATTGCGATGAAGTTTCCTACACCGACGCATTTTCACCCGAAACCGATTTCTGTTGAAAATAGTTCGGCACGGTCCGTTTTTGCGGCCACTTCCCATATAATGCCTTAGTTTAAAATGTCATTATATGAATAACTCTCTTAGGCAAAGGGATAAGGGGCATTTAGTGGCAGGCCACGGATCAATACAACGTTTTTACAGGTTAGTAAGCGAAATAATAATTTATTTCAGAACCCTCATAACGCAACAGCGAGATTGCATTTTCTTAACTAAACTATTGGTTTGCATATTTCCGACATACAACAAACGCATTTCGTTACGTTTTTACACTTGTTCCGCTGTTTAGATTCCTGCCGCTTTCAATCTCTTTCTCAAGTCTTCATAATAAATCGCTACGTGCGTTGTTTTAAAATGAATAATTTTGTGCTCGATTTTTGAATAATCTCAGTCACTAATTCATATTAATTCTATGTATGGCATGAATTATTGGCGATTAAGGTTACACGTGAAAAGAAATTGATCTCGGTTATGGTAGTAATTAAAATACAGCAAACGCATTTGATAATTGACAACTAGATTACTTTATAGACGCGAATACAGTTCATTTTAAAATTTGTTTTACGTTATTGACTAAAAATGAATTTATTTTCCACCTTCATCAAGTTCTAACAGACGCATAAGTGCCGCGGGTAGCTAAAGCAAAGCTAACTTCCACATTAATTATAAATATATGAACTTGATTTATTTAATATTATTTTCTGAATCGTACAGGTGTGAAATGACAAAATTGATAAGAGCGCAGTTTGAACGATGAACACAAAAACAATGAAACGAAAAAACATTATGAAATGTTTACTAACCTCTGATGGCAGTTAACGCTGATTGCTTCATCATCATATGTTTGCGTTTAACAAAAACCATTGCGCCGAGTGATAGCATCATTATAGCTAATATAGTGCCCAATAATATAATAAACCACGGCTGAGTTAAAACATCATCGACATGATCCTGATTTATGGGATATCTAAAAAGTAAAAAACGTGGAGCAAAATAAATAAAAACTAAACTCGTAAAATATTTTGGCCATTAAAAAAAAACACAGGTACAAACAATACTTACCGTTGATTTATAAACGGATCTAAACGTTTGGTTGTAGGATCTAGTCTTAATGTCGCTGGTATACAATAGGGACCAATCCCAGCACTGTTACCGCCCGCAACACTCACGGTATACATTACCCCTTCGGTTAGATTCGCTAAAACTAACGTCGGTGAAGCAGCATCAATGGTAACATTTGTTAAAATACGCGAATAATTATGAGCGGTATCAATGCCACGCACCACAATGTGATAGAATAGTAATATGCCTAAAAAAATAAAAAAAAAATTTATTATAATCAAAAAGTCATTAGCTGGTAGACAAAGCATTTCAAAATGCTTAAAAAGATGCTTTCCTACAATATAATGTAAGAAAAATCATTTTGTAAGAAAATTATATTCAATCGTGACCGAATCTTTTATACCCATCTCTGTCAGTTTAAAAAAGACTAAAAAGAAGAAAAGAATTAAATTTTCGTATTCTGTAATATTGAGGGGTGGCGGGTGATTTTCTTTATTTTCGGAATAAAAGAAGAAATTTATATGATGCATAGGCGGCACTTTATGAGTAACAAGCAAAAAAGACGGAAAACAAAGGCGTTTGTGTAGTCTTGCCCATGGAGCGATTCGGCCCAATTTCAACAACAACCTATGTACAAGAACCTTCTGTGTTCTTGCTAAACTTGTCGATACTTTCATTTGTTTATAGCAGTCGGACAGACGGACACGCCTAAATCGATTCTGAATTTAGTGCTGATCAATAGTACGTACACTATGTCGGAGCTTTGAAGTAAACTTTTGGGCGTTGCAAACATTTCCATAAAATGAATATGCCCCTGTTGTTGCGGTGATGGGTATAAAAAAAAATTGTTAAACGTGCACATATTTCGAACCTTACCATGTTGTGCTTTAATATTTGGTGCTTTCCATTTGAGAAACACAGCTGATGAGTTGAGTAATATGGCTTCCATACCAAACGGTGCCTCATTAGGTACTGAAATATGTAAAAGGAAAACAAAAAACGAAAACCATAGAAGAATTAATTCAACATTAATTAAGGCATAGGCAAGTAAATTTAAATTTACTTTTCTCAAAGAATTACGTGAAAAATGAATAATCAAATCTCTTAATACATATAATGGTATTATTACTATTATTATTATTATTACTATAATTTTAGACTAATGAAATAAATTCTTAGACTAAAAAAAAGATACTGAGCACTAGCAACACAGGCTATCGGCTCTAATTTATATATATATGTACATTAGATACTGATCTTGAATTGATATTCTGTTCTGAAGCCATATAAAAGTAAACTTTCTCTTGTTCAAGCATTGGATTTCAAAACTAAAGAAAATAACTAAGTATTTATTGTGAAAACGATAAAAGTTGTTTGTATTTGCTGATATCTATGTTGAAAGCAAGTATGCCAATACAATCCGTAGACTGCCACATCAATAGTTTTGTCGTCATAAGGAAAGTTTCTGGTCGGATTTAATCACACTCCCTCAATTAGCTTGATGCAATACAAAATTTGATTTGCCACCGATATCGCAAGTTATCTGACGGAACTGACGAGGATGCGCTTAGTATCTTTTCATCTCAAATCTGCTCATATATATATGTTGTACTTGCACAAAGTGACAACACTTCTCAAATTTTCGATGGCTTTAACTAGAAGGCTCTCTTAAAATACCTTAAAATATATAGAAAATTCTACAACAACAATAAATTCATGTAGTGATAAACATAACATTCTTTATGGGAATTTCCATAAAGGCTTAATGTCAACACACTCCATTAATCCACCATTAAGGTTGCAATTTGTTTTTGTTGTAGCACGTTTTAGCACATTTTATGTGAAAAGCGTTAAGCAACACATATAAAAACAAGTAAGAACATTATAGTCGGGCAAGACCGACCTTTAAGTACCCTCCACCACCTTGACACAATTTTTATTTTTATTATAGAACACAAAAATTATATCTAGCTTCTGAAAATAGGATCCCAAAAATAGGTCGACGGATCGATTGGTTTCTCACATTTTTATATTTATATGTAGAAACAGCTACATTGTTCTCCGCTCTAATTTATTCTTTTAAAAGAGCGGAATATTTGTATAATCTGTTGACAATACATCAATTTTTTCCAAAAAGTCTTGTTTTACATTATAGGAAAAAAA